TGATAATTTATTTTTATGAAAATATTAGAAATACTTCTGTTAAAATTGTTCGATTAGCAATTTCTTTAAAAATATATTTAAGTTCCGCTTATTTTCCCTCAATAATATTAACTATAATTATTAACTAATAGTGAAAACTATACAAACCTGTGGATCAACTTGGACAGAAATTTTAAAATATTTAATCAACTTTACAATTTTCAAGGTTGAGTTGATAGGGGTTTTTATTCTTTTAAAATAAACAAAAATATTTATTTAAGTAAAAATATTAGTTTTTATTATATACCTTTCACTCTTACTAGAATTTATTTATCACTTGGCTAAGCACTTGCTTGTAAAGAGTATTTAGAGATGAAATTTCTAATGATATTTTGAAACATGCTATGAATTGGAAATGGGAATATAAAATAAAACAGAAACTGAACCAGCAATGGTTTATGTTTTTGATTTCGTTTTCATTTCCGACTTGTAATTCACGTTGCACTGTTGTTAATTACACAACATATGTTGCATATAGCATATAGATATATATGCTTAGACCCGTTCTGCCTGCAGCTATGGGTTGTACTCTCCCTGTTCTCTACTTTTCAATTAGCAGTTTGAGCTGTGCCAAAAATGTTTTTCAAAAAGAAAAAACAATTATTTTTATGAATGCATGGCAAAAGTTTTTTTAAATTTTATTTCTGCGAAATGGATTTTAAATTTTCAACTATATTTTAATATAGCTAACGAGTGCTCGTCTTTTAATTGATTAATTCTTCGGCTGCTGCGTTTGATTAAAGAAAATATTTCCATATGCAAAGAGGTCAATTGCTTCATATGGTAATTTGGCATAGACACTATGTATAAAGCGCTGCAGAACTTTTTAGTTTAAGTATGATGTAGACCTTGAGAGGCCCGTCTGTGTAGCTGGCATATGAGAATATGTATACATATATATATATATATATAATACACGTATAAGCAGTATATATGTATATATAGAAATTTCTGCACTTACAACTCGTAAAAGATAATGTCATTAACTGCTCACAATAATTGCTCTATGCAGACGCCAGTTCAGGTGAAATAGGAAGACAAGTTAAATAAATATTTTAATAATAATAATGAAATAAATCAAAACATTTTATTAATAATGATAATCTTTTAATTAATATTAGTAAGAGCTGCAGTTTAAGTTGTGGAATGTATTTGTTGTTGCTATATGCATAATCAATGTGTGTAGAGAGTCCCGATTAGATTCGCTTATTATTCGGATGCATTGTGTGCTTAAACCTTTACATTAAATTATATGACTTTTTAATGGAGCTATAAGATGGTAAATAGTAGCAGATTTCTTACGAAAACTTCCTGCATGTGCGGCCAATTTAACATTGCTGTCTATGTAATATAAAGATAAGTGTAACAGTACAATAATATTAGTCCAGCTAAACAAAAAGTGCAGTCATATTCGGTATGCTCGACTAGATAATACCTTAAATTAAATACCTCTCTCATTTTAATAGACAAATCAATTTAAGCAATGGAGACATATGTCATATTAAAACTGAATATAAAAGATCAACCAAGATAGTTTATGAATTGTTTTGTCATCGATTTGATTTGCTCAAGCCCTAGTTCAGACCCACGCTGGATGATAAGAATGACTTACCGAACGGGACAACTCTGTATCAGAAGGGATGTAGATGAAAAATAATTAGAGAAATGTCAGGGAGAATGTTGTTAGTAAGGTTCGGTACTAATTTAGTTAAATTTTAGACTTCAACGAGAATAGTCGTGTTGTATAGCTAAATTTACGATGACTTGATGGAAGTTCGGTTCGATAATGTTCGAGGTTTAAGCAACATTCAAAATTTCAAATTGAGTGTATGATTGGGTATGAAAGATAAAAGGTTATCCGAAACTAAAGAGACGCTTGATTTTGAAAACTTCAGCCAAAGCTGCGAGCTCGAGTGTTCAGCGAAAGCTCGATTCTTATGATCACTCAGCTTAATGAAAGAGAATTAAAGCTCGCTTGGCTTTGCCTCAATTCGAATATTTTATTGCGCGTGTTGAATTTCGTATGAAACGCTCTCTTAAATTCACATAACGTGGGTATTGTTAGCTTCTGGCCCGGCACGGCCTCTTAAACGCCTGGTAAACGCCGCTGAACCGAGATGGCTCTAAAGATGCTGCGATACTATTAGATTATGGTTGATCTCAGCTGAAAATAAAGAAATATTTTAGTTTTGAATTCGAAGATCTTATCAGACTTTGGCTTCACATATTGATATTCAAGAAAAGAATTGGTGACCAGAACGAAACGCCGAATCGGCCCTTCTAATCATATTTCTACACACTGAACATTTTTACTTGATTTAAAAATAAAATATCTACAAGCAAGCTCCCGCCAAAACAGATCCAAACTAATATTTCACGATCACCTCTCTTCAGTCGCGCTCTTCGTCTCAGATTCGCGCTTTGCGAGAGTGTAAGCATACATGTGTGTGTGTCTGTGTGTGTGAGTGTGTATGTGAGATGTCGGTGCTCGGCGTGTGCTTCAAGTGCTGAAACTCATGAACGAAAATATTGCGCTTGATAGTCGGGGAATCGAACTCGAAAGAGCGACAACGCGTTTTAGATTTTGTTTTTTTGTTTGTTTTAAATGTTTGTTTTTTGTTGTTTCTCGTCATTTTTATCGTCGTTAATTTTGCGCGCGCAACGACTCGGCAAGTTCGGAAATCCTGACAGCTTCCATCTGCAATAATCAATAATGTTCGGCTACGCGACGTGACAATTAATGCTACTAACGGTAATATTACTGATCCTAACAGCATGGATATGAATCTGCAAATTATGCTTGCTGCATGCATGTGTATGTGAGTGCCTGTGTATGTGTGCGAGCGTGTGTGTGTGTGTGCGAACTTGTATGCAAATGAAATGGTCAACTTTGAGTTGGTCATAACCTTCTCTAGATGCGATGATAAGAAAAAGTTAAAATAAACAAAAATGTAAAAAAAAATTCAATTATATAAAACAAAAAGTTTTATAATAAAAAAAAAAAAAATGCAAAAGTTGTTAAAAGTTAAGTCGAGTGTGCAACAAAATAAACACGCGAAATGCATAAAAGTCTCTAGACACACACATATGATACGAATATTAAATGTTCTTTTGTGAATTAAAACATATTACTTTGGCATTCAACTTGAAGCTAAAAAGTGTACAACGAATTATTGTGCTTACTGTATCTAAACGTTTACTTATGTATCTGTGGTACGCAAAGAATTAAACTAAAACACTGGATGCGACAGCTTAGCCATGTGTATACACATACACGGATCTATGTATTCAGACGCACACGCATATACCTGTATATACACATACATATATATCTCTGCATACATACGTCACCTCAGCTTTATCACTGTTTGCTTATGATTCCAAGTAGCTATCTGTTGCTAAACTTTTCAAATCTTTCTTTCACCATAATTCTTTTATGATAAAATTACTATGAAACTACAATCAGCTGCCGGCAACAGCAGCAACAGCAGCAACAGCAGCAGCAGCAATCTAAGAGCATAATTTTGATACTCGTTCACGAATTCAATTTGCTTTCTGTGCATTGTTCGTCTGTCTGTATAAAGGCAAAGGATTTATGCTTTGGTGTACTTTGAATCCAAATCTTGTAAAAATGTAACTGTATTATTACAACTGTATTTATTACAGTTTTAGACATGTGTTGAGCTCCTCTATTGACTAATCAGGTTATACATAGATGCCTCTTGGGGGCATGGCAGATCTGAATCAGATCAAGTTGATGCAGAATCCGTAGATCTAGAGTTGGACTAAATATGATATATCTATGCCTAATTATTCAGGTAGACCTATAGATGGCAGATAAGCATGCAACTAACAGAGTTTGAAACGTGAGCGAGTATCATGCAGTCTGTAGCGATCGACTCTAAAGTTCTTACTTGTTTTGTCTATCAATTGTTGGTTTATTCTGCGTGCGGCAACAGCAGCAGCAGCAGCAGGGGCAGAGGCAGAGGCAGAGGCAGCGGGCACGGCACCATCGAATTTCAATTAACAAAATAAGCAAAGCACCAAAAATATCAACATAATAGAAACATAATTAGCCATTAGCCCCGTACCGAGCCCGAGTACAACAGCGCCGCAGCGTAGTCGACCGAGCCACGTTCGTTGCTCACAAAATTCGGCCACAAATTCGCACATTGTTGCACGTGCTCCGCTGGCGGTTGATTGACGACTGACAGCTTCAGTAGTTGAAGCAGCTCTACGGCCAGCGACAGCCCGCCATGCGGACGGAGTCGGCAATGGAAGCAGCAGAGGACCATCAGCTGCTACGCACAATCGCATTGCGATCGGACCGCACAGGCGCTGATATCGATGCGGATGACAGTGTCCTGCGATACTCATTCAAAGGCAGTCCGCCGGAGCTCTACTCGCCCAAGAAGGAATTCATCTACACTCACGCGCTCGTCGAGAAACAGGTAAATACCGATCCAACATAGAGGCGCGCCTAGCCCTTTGCATTGCATACAATATATCGGTCTTTTCTTTTATTTCTCTTTTTTTTTTTTTTTGTTATTTTTTGGCTGCCCTCTCAAAGCCCAACTTAATTTATTGCTTCGATTTCGCATCGATTTGTCGAGTTCTTTCATTTCTTTTATAAATTCAGTTGATTTGTCGCTATTTTTTGTCTGCTTCGCTCTTTTTTATTTTGCCTTTTTTCGCTTTATTTTTTTTGTATTTACTTTTTTTTCGTTTTAAGCAAAGCTCAAAGAGACAAAGAAAGCGTCGTCGCTATGACCATCGCATTTGAATACACACGCTTCACTACACAGACAGTGAAAAAATAAAATAAAATAAATAAATAAATGAAAAGAAAATAAAATTAAAAAATAAAACCAAAAATTTCAATTTCGCTCAGTTAAATTGTATAAAATTGTACAAAAGTATTGGATAAATAGAGATATATCGCCAGTACCCCCTAGGGTATCACACGAGTCCCCAGAGCTGGCAGGGAAAACCATGTTTAGAATCTAATCAATGCTTACACAATGAACATTAGATGTAAGCAACTTAAGAGGCATGCTCGAATCTGGCATACCCTATTGTCATTTATATATTGTATATTACGATTGGGGCTCTATCTGCTTTAGAAATAACTATCGTCAGTACCCCAGGGTATCATACAAGTCCCCAATAGGCAGTTTAAGGAGTATGCTCGACTCGGGCATAGCCTATTTGAATATGCTGTGATTAGGGCTCGATCTTCGTACTGCAAAATAAATTCAGTTTACACTGCTCACATCTCCCCTGACTCACTAACTGTTCGTGACGTTAGACACACGGCCTATGTACAAGAACCGTTCTATTTATGTATGTGCAGTGAGATTAATGTATGTGTGCTTATGTTGAGATTGACCGATAAAAGTCTGCGCAATTTTTTCTTTGGGTACTTTAGAGACAGGTGCTTCCGTTGTCAAATTGTTTTCTCTTTTTTTTATACAATGTTTGACGATCCACCTAAAGCCAACATGCGCAGAAACTTCAGATGAATGTCTTTTTTTTTTTGTTCGTTGAGTTTTATAGCCCGACAATAAAACAATTGTATGTTTAGTTAATAATTTTATGGAAATATGAACTATGACTGTCATATTTTTCTGTTGATAATAACTCACTCATGCGACTATGCGGGCAAAATGAGTCCACTTTGGGGAGCATATCTGGATCATATTACTTATCATGAAAGATAATTGGATATCACAATATTGGCATGGAATGAATGAGATTTTCTGCAGCAGCTGCAGTTGACAGCGGCGAGACTCTGAAATGAATGTGCTGCACATATTTCTGAACGATTTTAGATGAATCTGCAGAAAACACGACCTGAGTGCTAATTGCGAGTAATTTCGCTTTTCGCGAACTATCTCTGAGGTGTGAGAATTAGCTAGATCAATCTGCTTGGGTGACGGAACGTGACAGTTGTATTTGCCCATGTTAACAGAACGGAAAACTCCATTTGACATCCACTAGCTGCCGCTATTAGGCATTAGCCATTAGCATTTGATCAGCGTTCTCAATAGCTTTGGACGAGGATAGACGATGGATGTAACTGCTGAAAGGCGAGGTGTTGAAATTTCAAAAACAACACGAACCTGTAGTTGTATGTGTATGTAAATGGAATTCATAAATAATGTTGGTTGCGTATTAGGAAGTCGTTACGGCTGTCTGATCCGACTCATGTTTAATACTATTTATAGACTCACACACACACACACACACATACGAGTTCTGAGTAAAAATGCTGATAACCACAAATTGAACTAAGCGTGCCTTTTCGAACTATTTCAATTCAGATGAAATATTATTTGGTTTCTTAGCTTATATGAAATTCAGTTTTATTTTTATATTATTTTGGTTACTTTTGTGTCGAGGTTTTCTTAAAAATAAATTGTGTCATTTTTTGTGTGGCGCCATGAGTTCGAAACACTTGCTGTAAGAGCCTCGATGCTGTCGCGCTCTAATTTGTATTCGAATACAATAATATTCACATACTGTTTAGAATTTGAATATGCATGTAGTATGTAGTATTTCGGTCGTGCGACGCGTTGCTCGTGTTTCTCAGCATTTTGCTTATTTTTTCATTATTTATTTTGTCTACTTTAAATAAATACGAGTATAAAGAAAATTTCAGTTCGTTGACATCAAAAAAATGAGGCGGGGAAACAACAAAAACAAAAACAAAAATTTTAAAATAAAAATAAATAAAGTAAAAACAAACTTTAAGAAATTGAACATTTGTCTGTCAGCCTAAATGTAAAAAGAGACCCGCGAGAGGAGACCGACTAGTAGAGACCCTAAAGTCAGCTTAGAGCGGAATTTCCAATAAAACTTATCATAACTATTGTGAATCGAAAATCTAAACACTTTAATAGGATTCAAACACTTTCTTAACCTGATCTAAAAATTGTTTTAATGATAATTATGTTGGGGATGGATTAGTTATATGCAGTGAATTCAGGGTATATGGAAAACTTTCAGACTCATCACGAGAACATGTCATATATTGTACTTGTAAATATAAGTCCGAGCTCAACTTAAAATATGATGCAGGAAGCGAAAGATCTCTGAAATTATTCTGGTCACCTCTTCAATGAACATCTTACCTGTTATATCCATCAAGTTTATGTAAATAATATTTAAATGTTTGAGGGTGTGACCAGAGAGCCCTTTGTAACAACAAACAATTTGTCAGCAGTATAAAGCCTCCATAAAAAAAAAAAAAACAAAACAAAAAAAAAAAAAAAAAAAAATGATTTCAGCTGAGAAAAAAGGCTTAAAAATACTCGTAAATTCAAGTGTTTTTGCTGTTTTTTTTTTGCTGGGGCGTGACTTTAGGGTGTTGTTCACAGTTTTTGCTGTAGTTGTGGGTTCAGAATTTTGAATTTTCGGTATTATTATGAACAATGTTTACGTGCTCTGCAAGCCGATGAAAAAACAAAACAAAACAATATATTGTACCAGCCCACGATCGTTTCTAAAAAATAGTACAATAAAATAAAATGACAACAAAAAATACAAAATAAAAACCAGATAAATTCTCAAACAATTCCATGTTCAAAAAAACTGTCAAAGTAATTAAAAAATTATAATAAACCGAATGTCAGCGAGAATAGCGGCGCGGCAGAGATGTGAGACGACAAGTGTTCGCTGTTGATATTAATTAATTCTTTTTTAATTTATCAGTCAAGATTAATGTTAAACATTTTCAACCTAGTGAACAGTTGGTCTTAAAACTGATTTTTTTTTGTTTTTATTTGTTTGACTTCGTATTTTGCATTTCGCATTTGAGATTTAAGACATCAGATTTAAGACTTCAGATTGAAGATTTGAGTTTTCAGATTTCGGACTTCGAGTCTCGTTTCATTTCATTATTTTATTATGGACATTTAGCTGGCCATTTTTAGCAAGGCATTAGCATAATTGCTTTTTTTTGTCCATTCCATTCAAGGCGAAAACACCTTTAATAATTGTGTGTTTAATTTTTTAAAACATTTGTTTTGTCTCTAATACCCTAGACATATGCATAGCAGGTAGTTATTTCTATACTCCGGCACTTAACTGTCTATAGATAGAAATCGATTTGTATTTTATGCTGGGTATTTGCCAGCCGAGCACTCATTAGCTCAGCATATTTACAAATATTTTATTGCTATTTTTTGTTATTTTTTTCGCTTAGCTGTCACAAATTGTGAATGAATTTTCGGCAAATCGATTTTAGTGTTATTAGGTAGAAACATTTGAATTTTGGTAAATAATAATTTGTTTCACTGATTTGCTGGCTTACATCAAAGCCAGAACCCGCCTATAAAGCTGAAAGATTAGCCAAATCTGGTTTGTTGTCCATTGGCTCGGTGCTTTATTTGGTGTTTAGTCTATTGTCTCTGTTTTATTTCTATTTTCCGGCCGCCTCATCTATAATGGCCGAAACCAGAAGAAACGCTCTTAATGATTTTTTATTTATTTGCTGTCGTTACGGCCTTATCTTATGTATTTCTGGCCACATTCCGCTGGAGCGTGTTACATAGCTTTACATAATTTCATTATATTTCACTCTTATGACATTCATTTAATTATTTTATATAAACACGGCTGTCAGCACGCCCAGTGCCGCGTGGTGCCGGTGGCATCATCATCATCWGAGCTGGATCGTCAACATGGCCACATGCGAATCAATGGCATTATCGAACCCTAGCACTTTGCTTTGCATATAAACTGGAGACGCGCCGCAGCAGAGGCTTCAAGGCGCACCGCATCGTCTGTATTCATATGCTAAACCGACTCGGACTCGGACTCGGAATGGGACTGCCTGAATTCAGAAGTCAAAGTGGCTTAGCCTGCCCTCATCTCTTTATCTATCTAAAAGCAATATTTCGATGCTTTGGAGCATCAGCGGTTTATCATTGTGTGCGTATGGGTGCAGCAGCTCCATAAACCGAACCGCAAGCCGACCTCAGACTCCATCGGAAATGTGAATAAAATAAATAACAAAATATTTATCCACAAATTCTTTAATAGCATGGTTCCCAAAAATAAAAAATAAAATACCTATTTTTTATTTTCTTTTATAAAAATTTCAAGGAACTGTCGGTGTGTCTTGCTGGTATGTGTGAGGTGGCCTTTGTTTCGATTCCAGAGAATTAGACAAAGTATTGCGGTTTCATGTTGCAGTCTATGTGCGGTCAATGGGGCGTTATTTATACATTTGGTAGCCATGATTTATGAATCAGGATGAATGGGCATTGCTCATATACATAGGGCATACCCGATCCTGATGCCCTCCAATCATTCCGCACATATACGTGCAACATTTCAATCGAAATCTTCTGGGAAGTTCGACTCGTTTTGGCATACGTAACAGATATTGATAGTCTTTAGATTGGCATTTATAATCGCATTAGAGTCCCACACCCTTTGGGATGAA